TGTAAAGAGAGCTAGGCATCTTTATGATGAACGATTTCACATCAAACCATTCTGAATGACTTCATTTCAACCATTTTACATTTCAGTTATTAAATTAAACAGACATTTTGAAAAAATTGCTGGAATTCTCCTTTGAAAAAGAGCATAGTGCTGACCTGGATCAGTTTCTGCCTTTCATATAAGGCCTTGAACTTCAGAGAGCAGATTCAGCCCTTTGAATACTGAATATTCTTGCCAGTGTACAAACAAGACTCATCAGTCTTATAAACAACATTTTTCATGTCAGTGAGAGAGGTGTAAAATTATATGTTAACATTTTTAATTACATAGTGCCACCCTTATTCAAAGCATGCAGGCCACTCTCACTATTGCTTTTTCTTTGTGTCCAAACAGAGGAGAAAAAAATGTTGGCATTTTAAATAGCATTATTGTCAAAGAAAGCACTCCATTAAAACCATAGCGAACCACAGATTCTGTGAAAAAGTATTTGCCCTCTCCTGATTCCTTCTATTTTTATTCATTTGTCACATTTTACTGTTTTAGACACTGCTTCAAACTAAATTTCTCTCATATTACATTTTGTATGAGGATCTGAAACCTCCAGAATGCCTCACATTCAATGGTGGATGGGTATCAAATCTCACACAGATAAGAAATGACTATAAATAAACAATTACAGTGCATACTGTTTTATCATTTAACACTTTATTGGTATTACTTATTTTCAACTTGAAATTTTGAATAAAACATCAAAATACCTTCTGGTATTATAGTATTTGAATCTACATTGTGTACATTATTATTAAATAAATCACCACAATTACTAATAAGCCAAGTGGTTGTAAACCTTTGAACTGTATTTCACAATATGTAAATTTCTTGTTCAGGGATTTTACACATGCTGTGTGCAACTATCAGCAATGTCATCATGGCAACTGTTGTCATCACTTGTGCAACTATTTACATTACACTGTCAGAAAAATGGGACTGACAAACAAACAATGCAAACGTGCCCTCACTGTTCAGTAGTGTACCTTAAATGAGTTTTAAAGTTACACTATATTCACTTTCCCAGAGGAAAGGGGCATATTTGATTGTAATTAAATGAGGTACCCATGAAGGTACCACCACAGTGATAATTTAGTAACTTTTATACTGAGACTCTAGTTTTAATGCTCAGTACGCATTATAATATCTTATAATATAATATAATATAATATAATATTAAGAAAATATGTTGTCATTGTCAGCAAAACCTAACATAACTTTCACACTGTTCACATTGCGTCAATATTTCATTATAAATGGACTAATATAAATGCTCCAAAATTACTTAAAATAAAATCCTGTCACATTACTCTACATTAAAGTTCGTAAAAAATTGTCCTTTAAAGTTACTATTTTGAACGTATGAACAATTCATATTTTAGCATATTGTGTTTCTCTATTCTGAAATAATGTTTAAATCTTCAAATTTCTAAATATTTTATTTTAAAACTGTGTGCATTATGCTAATGTTTAATATAATGGCAAGAACAAAATTGTAATTGTAATAAAATTAATTTGACCTTTAACAGACATAGAATATTATTAGAATTAGAATATTATTTGCAGCCATTGTTTTCAGATGATGTCTTCAGTTATATAAATATATAAGGACGGAGTGTTTTATCATGAATAATGTCATGTGATTTGTCACAAGCTGAAGGTGAGGACAGTAAATAATCAAATCCATGATCTTGTGCTTTTAAACAACAGTTCTGTAAAAGTAAAGTAAACAAGCCCCAAAAATCATGTCTCCACATTAAGAAAGTAATTTTCTTCTGCAGCAAAAGGTGGTACCCTTTTGTGTTACGGTTAGAGACACAAAACTGTCACAATATCAGGTTCAGCTTAACTTTTTCATTTTTTGCCAGATTAACCTGAATATGGTTTTGTTCCAGCCCATCTGTAAAGCTTTTCACATATAATTTTTCAAATCAGATTCTATTGATTTTGATTATTGAAATTTTGTTATTGAAAAAAAATAACAACTAGGCCTCATAAAATTATTTTGTAGTGTTTATAATGTTTTAGTGTTGTTGACACTGTGCTAATATAAAATTATTTACTAATTTACAAAGTATAACTAAAGAAAAGAAGAAAAGAAAAATAAGTAAACTGGACTGTGAGTGATAAATGAATGATAATAAGTGGAATTTTGTCTTATACTCTGCTTAAACACCAGTGGGTTGTCCAGAAAATGCTGAGCAAAACATCAGTGGACCTCCAGCTTTGCCATCAGTGGGCCAACAGTGGCCCACTATCCTCTTGCTATCAGGGATCAGATTGTGCCGTCAGAACTAATTGTTGAATAATATCAAATATTGCAGTGCTGTGAGTTTGGAAGCAGTAGGAACCTTTAAGGCCAGAGTTCACCAACAGGCAAACATGAACAAACATTAACACTTTAATGTTTGCAGTTGTCCTTAGAATGTTAAAAAAAAAACCTTACAAGTTCAGTTAACTAGAGCGAATGGGAAGAGAACATTCTAGAGTCTTTCAACAATCAAACACAGGTACGGCACGCCAACCAAACATTTGTGTTTGTTCGTGTATGTCCCATCTGTGTACTCTTGTTTTTACCAAATGACTAGATATTGCACAGATATTGGTCTTGTGAATATGAGCTGTGCTGAGTAATCGAATATGGAGGGAAAAGCCTTCTTTCACAAGACCACAAGTGTGTAATATTTCAATATAGTAAGCTGTAGTTCAAAGGTGAATAGAGGAAGGGCAGCTGGGAAGTGTGACTCATTGTGACTGACTATTACAGTCACAAAAAGTGGTGAAATTACTTTAAACACTGAGGAAGCTGCACTATAGTTAAGAAGGGAGAAGTCAATAAAAGTTAGGTTGGCATAAAGTTTGGTTGGCATAAAGTTGGAGTCATGAGGTTGGAAGTTTATCTTCATTACACAGCTCGCTCATTTTAGATTTCCAAGTAAAAGACTGAACAGGCCTATGTAGGTGTGATATCATTAGAAGGTAATGGAGTTGTCTGGACTTTATAAATGTGTGTTTGTGTGAAGCTCATGATTTATCAACAGGAAGGTGTGTTCCAACCGCTGATCTATTCATGGAAAACCCCATAAAACAATCAGGCATATCTGGAAGCTTGAGTAACTCAGAAAATACAAGCCATAGTGAAACATACAGAAAATACAAGGCATGGTAGGTGGTACTCAAGTTGTGCCAACTTTGTCCTGTCATCCTGTATTACTGCAGTTATTTGACATTGCAGCAATTTAATGATTATGTTAAAAGTGTGTAGTGACTAGTCCATGATGGAAAAAACAGCTTAAACAGGCTTTAAATTTAAGCTGGTTAATATGGCCTAACACTGGTTTCAGATGTCAGCTATCAGCTCCAAGCCAGCTACCAGGTTCTATACCAGTTTAAACTGGTATAGACTGGGTTTTCCAGCAGGAGTTTCATTTGCCATTTACATTACTTCAATACAGTTTTGAATAATGTGCACTTTTCTGTATACTTTCAACTGATAACACTATAGAGTTCTGCTACTGGCTGGCGCTGGTGCCTGAGACTCTGAAGGTGTGGCCAGGCAGAGCGTAGCTCATGGTAGCGTATGCCTTCCAACAAAGGAACTTGTTGTGTTGTTTTATGTTTTTGTTTATTAGTTATTGTTATGTAAGTGTTTTATGTGTTGTAAGTGAGAGTGGGCTAATATGTGGGTTTCGTATGGGAGGAGACATCACCATCAGTGTGAAGTGTGATCTCCTCCTCAAGTTCCACATCCTGTATGTAGCTGTTTCTGTGAGAGTGCTTCTTGCAACAGAATCATGGCTGTTCCTGTGTTTTTGTTTTTGTTTTCTTTTGCTGACACTAAAACACTTTTACTTAAACATAACTATGTTTGCAAAAAATCCACTTATATATATATATATATATATATATGTGTGTGTGTGTGTGTGTGTGTGTGTGTGTGTGTGTGTGTGTGTGTGTGTGTATATATATATATATATATATATATATATATATATATATATATATATATAAATGTATGTGTATATGTTTGCTATACAATCCTTTATTCTATTCTACTGTTTTGACGTTATTTATGTGTATTCTATGTTGGTCTTGTATGTACGTTGCTGGACCACTGTAATTTTCCTTTGGGATTAATAAAGTGTTATCTTTTTTATTGCTCACATCTCTCACTTTGGAGCTTTAGCATTTTATTTTAAACAGGACAGGACCGCAAAAAGAGAATGAAAGAGCCTGACTAACCAGATAATTCAGTCTAACTCTTCTGCAAACGCATAACATTGTCACATAACTTTCTATGTGTTCTATGTGCTCTGTGTGTTTTTGTGTGCGTTGCTGAAACATTGTCAAAGGGTGGCGCTGTTTACCATGTTTTAACAGGGGCTCGACGTTGTCACAACTTCATTACTAAGTAACTTCTTTTGGAACTTCATAGACTGAATTTTAGACTTTAGGGAAAGTGAGCAGAACACAAGAGAAGATAAACGAATAAAATAAATAAAAACATTTTAATAGGATAAATACAGGACGTCTAAACAAACGTACATTTAATCTCTCTCTCTATCTCTCTCTCTCTCTCTCTCTCTCTCAGATGACATATACGTTTGTTTTATCACATTAAAAATGTTTTTATTTATTTTATTCATTTATCTTCTGTCCATAAGACCAAATATACAAATGTATATATATTTTTTTCGCTGTCACTCTATAATTGTGTTTTTTGAGGAATATTAGTTTAATAAAAATCAAATAATGTAGAGATAAAATAAAACATGCACTTGATACTTTGGACATGTATGCATGTATTGCAGGAAACATGCCCGAAAAACTCGAAAAAATAGGATTTTCAGTCGGAAAATGCTGCTTGAAAACGCTTTTTCCCTTTTTCAGACGACGGTGACCCTACCAGAGACCTGATCCTACCAGAGAGGGAACCGTGGCGCAACCTTGACGTTCAACGTCTGCGTCGTTACGTCATCACTCTGCGACAAAGTTCTCCCGTTTGAACATGTGAGCTGTACAACATTCAGGTAAGTTTAGTTTGTGTTGTTTAATGCTTTTCTTGCGGGTAATTTATTATTGTAGTGTGTTTAAGGATCCGAAAAACAACGTGTCGTTTTGGTCTGCAGACTGACAGCAGTTTGAAATGAATATAAATTGAGTAGCGACAATCTGAAATCATGTTTTAAGAAATGCCGATGGCTTTATAACGTAATTACTTTCAGACTTTGCAGTATACCGTACAAAACCCTTTCACGAACTAAGTTCTCTGTAGATTTGCAAGGTTTGCAGTGGAACCTCTGAGTGCAGCATCCCAGCATAGCACCTGAAGTTAGTTAGACTCTGTTCTTTCTTTTATGTTTACAGTAAATTGCTTGAAAGTAAGAATTGTACTAAAACAACAGAACAGAATGAAATTCAACAAAATAAGGTATTAGGAACTGAGTATGAAGGACAAAATGGGACTGAATGGAAAGTAGTCAGTTGATCTTGTTACTTCCAGGTAGATAAAGATGTGTCCTAGAATATGTGTTTGTATATGTTGTCTTGCATCCACTCTATGATAATATACTTTCCAGTTTTCTTTCAGATATGGAGAAGTGGTGGAAGAGTAAACCAGAAGTGTAACTGAGTGCAATCCTGAGGAACATTTCTGAGTCTAAGAAGACTTTTTGCAGTCACCAATCTTGTAATAAACTGTCAAAAACAGACAACAGACTAAATAAGAGAGAGATGGTGGAGAAGATGGCAGCAAAGGGTCAGATGCATTATAGTGAGAAAGGACAACAGAAGATGAGGGAGCACAGTCAGGGTAAGGAAGGTGGTGGAAAGAGGATGCTGCTGGACGCCATGTCAGTGGGCTACTTCCGTCGTGTCAGCGACCAACTGAGTGAAGAATTCCCAGATGATGAAGAGCGAGGTGAGTAGCTCATTTTAGGGTTGCAATGATTAGTCGATAAAAGTTGAGTAACCATCAGTGGTGACAATTTGGAAAAAGGAAATTCGATGCTAGTTGATCTTCCTGATGACTTCCTTATCGGTCATGACTGGATTGTGAATAGAACAGAGGGGTGATGATTAGATTATACAATCAGGTCCATAAATATTTGGAAATAGACCAAGTTCTTGTTATTTTAGCTGTATACTGCAGCATATTGGAAATTAAACAACAAATACAAGCTTAAAGTGCAGATTTTCATCTTAAATTCGAGAGTGTTTACATCTAAATTTGAATGCTGTAGAAATAACAAAAATTTTCATACATAGCCTCATATTTTTAGGGGCTTAGAATGTAATTGGAAAATTGACTGCTCAGCTGTGTGTTATTCCCACATTATTTCAGATACGAGTAAGCAGGTTAAAGTGAGCTGATTTCAAGTGTGACATTTGTATCTGCAATCTGTTGCTGTTAACTCTCAATATAACGTCCAAAGAGCTGTCACTGCCATTGAAGCAAGCCACTGTTGATGCTGAAAAATCAAAACAAATCCATCTGAGACATGGCAAAAACATGGCAAATCATGGCAAAAACATGGCAAATCAACTATTAGGTACATTCTTTAAAACAAAGAATTCGCTGATGAGCTCAGAAACTCATCAGTCATCTGACCTTCATCCAGTCAGCATGCATTTCACTCACCAAAGGTAAAACTGAGGGTAAAACGCCTCATAAACAAGCAGGAACTGAAGACAGCTGCAATAAATATCCAGTGTCTTGCGATGTCTATGGGTTCAAGACTTAAGGCAGGCATTGACTCCAAAGGATGCTTAACCATGTATTAAGAATGGCAACTTAATTTGTGATCGTTAGTTTGTCCAGTTACTTTTGAGTCCCTAAAATAGGGGGCTGTGTATGAAAATGGCTGCAATTCCTACACTATTCTCCCAATCTGGATGTGAATACCCTGAAATTAAGGCTGAAAATCTGCAGTTTGAGTTCATGTTCATTATTTAATTTCAACACAAGATTCTGTGGTAGACAGCTAAAATAACAAAAACATTCAAATATTTACAGACCTGTGCAAAGTTTTTTTTACTGCCTTTGCCGGGTTGGTTATGGCTTTGTTATCTCATAACAAACTCCCACTGTGCACCTGAGTTGCCAATCAAAATGGCGGCAACACGATTGTATGACGTCAACGATTCAAATACTATGAATAAACTGTTCACTGTTTGAATGAGATTGATCTAGTGAGGTAAACTAACCTACATTTCAGTATTTTCACCCACTTGCAAAAAGTTCAGTTCGCTCTCACCTCTGAATTTTTTTTTTCTTCAGAGCCAAAAATGGACATAAAATTGTTGGCAGCTTAACTAGCTTGTCCATTTCTATAGCAGTTGTAATTACACTTTCTTGCCATTCTCTGTTATTCCTCTGTAGGTCTGTTTGTAGAGAATGTTCTGTCAGAGGTGAAGGGAAAAGCTGACCTTGTTGCGATGGATAGGATAGGCAGTGTGGCTCTCCAGAAGCTGCTGGCGCTGGCTCGGCCCGCCCAGGTGGGAGAGGTTCTTGCTGAACTGGGCGGAGAAACGGGTTCGGAGTTCAAAACTGTGTCATGTGACCGGTGTGGGGCTCATGTCATAGAAAGCGCCCTTAAGCAGATGGTCAGGTGGACAGGTAAGGATTCAACACTGAAAATGTAGTTTGATAATTTACTTTAGTTTAGTTTGAAGGGGATGCATGTTTGATGGGCTGTACTTGATATGACTCTTTCTCAACATATATAGGTGCTCAACAGCCTGTTTTCACTAAGATCCTTACAGGTTTACAACAACATTTTGCAACACTTTATAATAACAGGCCCCTGCAGATAGCAAATTAATCATTATCTAATAGTTTGTTAACAGTAGTTAATAATAATAATTATGAATAATAATAACAATAATGTTGTTGTTAAACATTTACATAGTAAACAACTATAAATGCTTTTCATAAATGAATAAAATAAATAATCTAAAATATGATATATTTTTATGTACTCGTATGCAAACATTTGTGCACCCCTGGACAATTAATGCCCTGTACAATATTACAAACAGGACATTTTTCCCCAAAGCCTGATTAGTAGTCCACTAAATCAGTTTTTCTCTCTACTTAAAGAAGACACACCCTCAGAAGAGAACTTTCAAAATGAAGAAGAAAAAAACGATGCAGGGAGTTGTGGGATGCTGGAGGCACAGGTGCTATCTCTGTGTCGAGTAGTAAGAGAAAATATTGTGGAGTTCATCAAAGACCCTCATGGAACTCACGTCGTACGAACTCTCATACATGTCCTCGCAGGCTGTTCAGCTCAGGATCAGTCTGATACTCGTCCAGGTAATAAAACTCTTATACTCACCACGCACTAGTACAACTACTCTACTTACACTTGTGTGCACTAGTACACAAAAGTGCAAAAGTTCCGGCTTCTTTTAAAAATGTTTCTTTATACGCACTGCTGCCTCGACATCTATTGTTGACCGCCATGAATTATGAATAGCAAACATGCAGACACTTAATGCATGTATACATGCATGTACAATACTGTGCAAAAGTCATTCATGTTTATTTATTTTTATTTTTTTTAATTTTCGGTCAACGGTCATATGTGGAAAAAAGCAAAGGACTTATATTTAACAGAAAAATTACACAGAAGCCTCAACAACTAAATAGAATTTCAACGTTTTCAGTATCTAGCATGTCCACCCTTTGCCTTTATTATACCTTCCACTCTTTCCGGGAGATGTGCTTTTAGTTTTACAAGGAAATTTGCAGAAATAGTTTTCCCATTACAATACAAATTTAGACTCATCAGTCCATAAAACTTTACAGCTTAGATGTTCAGTTTAAGTGTTCTAAGCCAGGTTTCTTCTAATTATATCTATTTCCTTTTCTCAGTTAGGGCTTCTTGACACCTACACATCCTTTCAGACCTATAGCATTGAGTTGTCTTCTCACAGTGGAAGCATAGACAGAAACACCTTTATGTTTTTTCGGAACTAAAGCAAGAAAAGAGCTTGAATTTTCTTGTGTCTCTCAAAGATGAAGGCTTTAAGTACTGTTTATCTAATGGTGGCAGTTTTGGTGGTCTACCAGGTCTTGCATCGTTGTTAGGAATCCCAAACATAAACGTAAAACGAAATCGCAAACGTAATCTGTGGCGTCCTTATTAGGGGTAATGCATGGAAAGAGGAGTCAGAATTCAGCACCTGTTGTTGTCTAAAGTGTCTGCTTGCTACATGTAGTTACATGGTAAGCTTTTGTTAATTTTTATAGCTCACAGTAAGTTGTACCATTCTCTTAGCCAGATCAATAATTCTGCACAATTTATTGATCTAGACATGGTTTGAGCGCATTGTGTTTATGGAAAAGATTTGGGTATTTGTTACCAACGTTAGCCTCGTAGCTCCAGCAATACAAGAAGAAACATTTGGACATCAAACATATCTTGACTACATCTGGGCTAAGTGGAAATTGTGTGAATTAGATTTTTGAATTTGATTTTTTTACTATTCTTTTAATGGCCATCTTCACTATAAATTGCTTAGGTCCCTGATTTTTGCACAATACTGTACACAAGATATATTGATATATGTGTTGAGCTATATTTGTGTCCATGCCATTATTTGGATGTCTAGATATGTTTTCTTTCTTTTTTTCAGCTAAAAAGCAGAAAAAAGCTGAACCTGAGCTAACAGATTTTGAAGTGCCAGTATCATTTTGGTGGGAGCTGAAGTACCTTTCAGACACACTTATGGAAAATGTCCATGGTGAGCTTTTCATGTTACACTCTCCTAACTTTGTACAGTTTTATGGTTGAAAATGAAAACACCACTTTACTGACATTGAAGACAAAACACCAGACAAGTTGTTGTACAACAGGAAAAGTCAAACTGAGAAAAACTATGGGGTCCCGAAGCCGTTCACATTTGAATACATCTACACCCAGTCTTTCATGTAGATGGTGTAAATTGTGTTTTTTGATAAAGAAGGTACACATTGGCCCTTATTCATCAAAGTAATGTAACAAGCATAGACTGGAGACTGGCGATAGGAATAGATTGCAAGACTCAGACCTTACAGAAATTTGGGATCTTGCAATCACAAGAATTCAAGCGATTCAGCCAGTCTTTGCAGTATTTGCTTGCAATTTTGTCTAATCAGCAGTATGGTAGTGTTTAGTACCACACTAAACATGAAAATCTGTGAAGTGCTTTCAAGACGAAGCATGTAGCTTCTGTGCCGATTGATGCAAAACACTTTAGCTGCTGCTTATATTAGTTCAGAGTCACAGCTCTACTGGTTGTGACAAGTACTTATTTAAAAATTTCCTCAGATTTCTAAGTTTATTTAGAGAACATGTTCAGTTCAGGAAGAGTGTACACGTGGATGATCTGTCAGTGCTTTGTTGCTGTTGCCATTTTTCGTTTCGTTATTTTGATGTACATTAATCAAAATATGCTTTTTGGGACTGTTATATTTTTTAATTTTGAGTCTGTTGCTTTGCACGTTCTTGGTTCTGAGCGGTACACTTAATTTTCTGTTTGTTTTCAAAGCAACTAATTAGGCTCTATTAAAAGATGTTAAATGAATATCAGACTTGTAATCATCACACATTTCTACATTGCAACAACAGTGACACCGAAAAATAAGTACTTAAAGAAATGCTGCAGGGTTTATAACATGCTGCTGCAAATTCAAGCCTCTTAGCCAGCAACAATCACAAAAGCTCACCAAGAAATCCTGGTGGGACTGAATAACATATGAACTGCTCCACATCTGAATATTTTGTATGACCTTGATTGAGTGGTGTATTGAGTGCAATTGAGGAACAAGTGCCACCTAACAAGACCTTCATTTGGATATAATTTGTAAAAGATATTTCTGAGTTTACATGAAACATGCCTTGCAGTTATATCACACATTGTCTCGCCTCCCTTCCTCCCCTCTCTCACAGAGTGTGTCGCCAATCTCACTGCCAGCGCTGTACTCCAGACACTGCTGACTGTCTGTCACAGGAAGAGACCCATACTGGGCAAGAAACTCAACAAAGGCATCATGGGATACCTGACGTCTCGTAGCTCAGCTCCTGGTGTCAGGTCAGGAAGATGGAAGGATGGATCAAGGGATGTAAACACATGGAAAACCTCATCATGATCTCATTTTTCTCTCATTCTTTCCTTTTTCATTTCTCTCTTTCTCTACAGTCCACTCTTGGTGTTTATGAAGGACAAGGTGTGCAGTCGACTCATCCAGATAGTGTTTCAGTTCTCTAGTAAAGTCCTGCTCGTGGACACCTACAAGAACCATCTCAGGAAACAGCTGATGCCGCTGGCGCTTCACGGGTTTGCAAACTACACCATTCAGACCTTGATAGCAGCCTCAGTCAAATACAAAATGGTACATCACCTCAGACACCTACACAAAGCAAGAACTCATTTTAAAGAGAGTATTTTCATTATCAGTAGAATTCAGTGTTCCTTTCTGTATATCTAAATCTTTGTCTTTGTCTCTCTTGCTGTCTTCTAGTTCCTGAAAGTGTTTGACGAGCTGGCAGAGGGGTTCGAAGCCATCCTGGCTGCGGGGCACATGGGTGTCATAGTGCAGCTGGTGGAAAGCTGTGTGCAGAGAGAAGAGCGGCAGGCTAAGATGCTGCAGCTCCTCTTTCAGGTCAGACTGAATCACTGCTTATCTACGGCAAACATATTACATGAAATGGTTACGAATATGCTGTAGATATCACTACCCCTAGATTTTTTTCTCTTTACTTCAAACTACATAATATACAAATTAAGCCGTATTTGAACCTGATTATTATTACCTGACTAGATACTCTAATTTAAGTGATTAGCTTTTCAGTATAATTGAATATTTTGGTAGTTTTTACAGTGCGGCATTAATAATTGTGGAGTAAATGGTGTTCTCTAATTGGCTGAACCCAGACCTCCCTCAGTAATAGTCCTGTTCTATTCCACTTCATGCTAATGGAATACCAGAATCTGCTAATAATCTCAGCCACTTGGGGTGTTGTTATTGTTATTGTTATTGTCATTGAGTATGCCACCACTGATGTGAACATTTGGACTATGACCTTTCAGTCCAGTTTTTAAAATTGGGAAAATTGCATATACTTTATTGTGTATGAATTAGGCAGTCAAATCTCACAAATTACATTACGGAACCTTCCCTGGTAATAGTGGTTTGGTTTCACAGTTACTGAATACATTATAGTAATTACCGAATAATAGGTCTTAGGATTAGTATTGATAGTAATAATAAGCTTGGAGGCTAAACAGGTTTAATATTGGCCACTAACTACATGAACACAGCTGACCGCAAACCACAAAAGCTTGCAGCATATTTACATGATGGGTTTTGTTGGAGAATGTTGCATATATTTAGATGCATTGAATGGTGTTAACTGGGTTCCCTCTCAGGCTTTTCACTGCGATGAGCCCGCAACAAGGCATCTCTCTTGCCTCCCTCTCTTCCTGTCTCTACTGGCTTACGAGGTGTACTACAACTCTGAGTCAGCAGAGGGCGATGCTGCACCTCAGGTACTGAACACAGCATGAGGTTGGGGGAGGGGCTCATTACTGAAGACATTTGACAGAAATCCTTAACTAAAAAGAAAATGTTGAAAATGTGTATTTTTTCTTGCAGCATTTTACATTATTCATTCACATGTATTTGCAAAATACAAACACTAAATTTATAGATGTGTAGCGCACAGCTAGAGAAAAGATAGCATTGTTTCATTTATATATATATCATTTATCATATTATATAGTATATGTGTGTGTATGTATATAATATATATATAAATGTGGAGTTATTGCACATTTTATATTTTGTGTTTTTTTCACAGTATGTAAAATTCAGCAAAAAAGTATAAATTGTGCACTACAGTTTGCAGGAAAAATGTCATATTTAAGATTGTTCCCTGTAGAAGTTCCATTAACATATTTTCACTTAGAAAATCAGCAGAACATGTCATTTTATTAAGGGTGTATAATCTTTTGCTTAAGACTGTATAACCTTAACATTATGCGGAGGTTCTTTAAACCAAGTTTGCCTTGATTTTTTTTATAAAGAGTTTGATTTACTTATTTGTAAACATTGTTAAATGTTTGTGTTAACCGTTAAATATCTAAAGGTTGTTCAAGGTTTGCATTAACATTGTTAATAGTGTTAACTTATTTTTACTTAGAAAACCATCAAAACATCCATTATGACCGGAAACATCAAATATGAACTTTTGCATACAACTTTAATGTTATTTGTTTATTTAGGTATTTACAGTAGTTACTGAATAATAAGTATGTGGTTTAAGGGGTTAAAGAAGCGTGTTGTTGTTGAGGTACAGAGAATGTTCAAACTCACACCTGTTATTCAGCCAGTCACTTCTGCTGGCCTTGAGACCACAGTCATATGATAGCAGCATTTTGCTGTGTTGCCCTCGTCTGCAGCGCCCCCTCTCGATCTGCTATCATGGGTCCTGTCTAGTCCAAGCACTGGCCTCTTTCAAAGACCGCTCCATCCTGATGAACAGCCTTCACAGCCTGAGTCCTGCTGACCTGCTGACCCTGGGCACTGACGGGATGGGCAGCCACGCCCTGCAAGCCTTGATCACATCATGCAGTGATAAAGGGAAGGGAAAGATGTTGAGGAAGCTAGAGGTGAGGTGGGAGAACAATGAATTTGTTCTGCAAAAGAAAAACATTCATTATTGATACCGGTGTGTTCACCGCTCTCAGCTCATTTCTCTCTCTTTTTCTGTTTCTTTCTCCTTCTGTCTCTCAGGGATTGTACATACAGTTAGCCTGCTCCCGATGTGGCAGTCGTCTGTTGGAGGCTGTGTGGAACAGCGCCACCATCAGTCAAAAACAGAGCATTGCAGAGCAGCTGGGTAAGCTGATCTGAAATCAGTAATATATATTAGCTACTTGTGTTGGTCCACAACAATTTGTCCCATACACTGTTCTAAAGCTCTAAAACAAAAGAGTTCTTTTAATGCTCATATGATACATGACGTTTGTCATTTGTCATGTATTTTGTTCTGTTGCACCTTAAGAGAAGAAATTGTGTGGAGCACAGTTGGAAGTTTGAATGAAGACGCAAAGTGAAGGCATAATGTTTCAATTAACTGATTAATTGAATACTATTATTTCTAAGTGATATAGCAACGTATAACATCATGAGGCCTATAACATCATAAGATTTTGTCAGTTTGGTTGTCAACAGCAGCAGTGCCAAAAAAAAAAAATACTGTAGAAAGCAAGGACATAGGAAGTAGGGGCACCCCGAGATTTCAGGATTGTTTAACTTTGACTACCAAAAATAGTAAAAAAAAAAAAAAATGTCAGAACTTGTCAGAACAGAAAGTAAAGTGAATGTAGTAAAGAGCTCTGTGTGCTTGTTTTAGAGTGGAATCTATATTTTTATATTTTATGCATATATTTTCCTGAATCGCTTTCATCAACTGCTGGCCGCTTTGGGGCAAAGAGGGAAAGTGAATGTAGAGCTGTACGGTGGCTCTGAGCCTCAAAGCAATCTATTTTTAACCTTAAAAATATAACATGACCATCTAACATGTCCAGTATTTTTATTTTTTTGACGGTTTGTTTGGTTTTTATTTATTTATTTTTTTTATTTTTTAAATCACCCGCTATATCTCACTGTTGATGTATGTTCCAGTGTTGACTCTCAGCACGTGCCCATGGGAGTGACTCAGTCATGTAGAGTGCCACATACATAACAGTCCGATTGGTCGCCACTCAGCTCATTTGCATAAAGTTCATACAGAAGCAGAGAGAGCAGGTTGTTCATCTGAGGTCTGACATGCCAGTTATATGTATAATATTGTAGTGTCTCGCTACATTTATATAATGTTATGACATGTTCTATTTGATGTTAATCATGGAAATAAATCAATAACATCAAAAGAGGAAAGTCATTCTGCATGACGTCACATTTCACTTCATTTATATGGTGTTTAAAATTTCAGCACCCCCACAACCTGAAACACTTTCCTGCCTCCCTGACAGAAAACTACATATTGTGCACAACTAAATGCATGAACAAAGTTAATTATACTCTTTTTGTAATGAAACATGCAGTTGTTTATTGTTTAATACAGACAATATGGAAAAAGCATATTGTGACATAATTTATCACTACAGTGATAAGTAGTCATTAGTTGCATAACTTACACATGAGCTGTAAAGCACACTGATCTGTTCTTGCTACAAAATGACAGAACTAATTTCTTCTTGTTTGGACAGTTTCTTGTATATTTTATCCTACATAGCTACAGTGTCAGACCTGCCATCTATATTGAATTATTAATCTGTTTAGTTGCGGAAAATTCAATAATTCGAGCTCATATATGCAGGTCGTACTCTTTACTGAGCTATAACAGACATGGCTCTAGAATTTTCTGTATTACTGTATTACTCTATACATGCGAACTGCAACTGACCATACAGGCCACACTGGCTTTAGCTAAGTAAATGAAAAACAGACAGGTGGTTTAGCGTAGCGGTTCAGTATATACTGTGAATTAATTGCCATATTTGATTAAATAAATTGGCTAATCTCTGCCCTTTTTTGCTCTCAGTCCCTAGTGAAACGCAGTTGAGATCGGATCAGTTTGCTCGCCACGTCTGGGGCAAATTTGGCCTAACACACTTTCAGAAGAGACGCGCTGCCTGGCTAGAGCTCCAGACAGGAGAGTCTAAAAAGAGGAAGATGTTCAGTGACATTCTGGATTAACTGGTTTTGACCAATACTTTTTTGGGGGGGCCTTAAACAAATGTTATTTCACCTGAAATCGTAAGTGTTAAATCAGCTCCTACAACTTCTTCAGCTGTTTGATTTATGTTATTGTAGGACTTAACACTTAAGTTCTTACTGTGTACCATTTTTTGTACAAATAATACATTTTCTGTACAAATAAAATTATGCAGTTTTCTACACTTTGCAATAGTTTTCTAAACACAAAAACATATACATGTAAATATAACTTGAACTCACTTCTTTGACATTGAACTCAGAATTTAAAAATCTAAGACATTAAAACAAGCATTTTCTCACAATTCTTTCTTTCATGAGTAGTATTGCACCTGTAGGAAGATTTTGTGGTGGTTGTTATTATGGCCTGACCAATGTATTTAGCACTTGAACAGTAAAATCTGTTGATATCAAGATTCCAAGGGTTTATTTGCATCAGAAGACATCAATAAAGCAGTGATAGTGTTTTGTAAATGTTATATGAGAAAACCACATTTACTGTAACTATACCGAACAACAACCAAACCAGGGGATCTTTACCTACTTGAAAGAGCCCATATAATAGACTTTTTTTTTTTTTAAATTAGAGTTTAATGTAGTGTGTAAACATCAATGTTTCAAAAGATTACATTCACTCACCTGTCTATACAGTCCACATGTTAATACCAAGGCTCAAAATGCATGTTTTGAATTCATTATTTTGCAATGTCACAAAAACAATCACATATTATAATTATATAATCTTAGTTCACTGATTCAGCGGTTTTCCCGGTGAAGTTATAGGAGTTGTTTTAGCCTGGACTACTTTTTGAACACTGGGCAGCCAATATACATAGAAGTATTCAGACATATCAATCTTAAAGAAGTTGAAAAATGGATATGGAAAATAAATTGTGACTGTTTTTGTTACTGAAACCATACCAATGTCATAAGTGAACTTGAAAAACAATATAAATCTATAAACATAAATATCATAAAGTAAGATATAGGCCCTTTGAGGTGGAGTTCCAGTGCGATGTAGCATTAGATGCTTGCTTTATATTTATTTAATTAAGTTTGTTTACATTTATATAATTTAAGACTTTGTCAGTTTAAACAACTTAAGTTCAAACTCACAATTTGAGTTTAAACAGTTTGACAGCCATATTTCACAAATGACAGTCATACCATTCAGTACTGTTTAACTAACATTATTGAAATTTTTGACAGCATCAGCCAATATTATGTGCTATTGGAATGTTTAGCTTCTCAAAATCAGTATCAGTGATAAAATGTTCATATCTGTTGAAACTGTGTTGTGATGTGAGTAAGCGAAAGTATGGTTAAAGGGATAAAGAGAGAAGGAATGAGAGCACAAGAGCAGAGTGCAGCTGTGGCCTCCCCTCCGCACTCACTCTCTCTATCTGAGTGGGCTGCGGACCACTGCAGTCTGATCGTAGGGGCGTAGTGACATTCAGCTGCGAGATTCTCCTGACCAAGTCAAAACCAGTCCTGATAGAATGCTTCACACAAGGACCTGCGAAAGTCAAACAACTCTCGCTAACAGCCATTAGCCATTAGCACAGAAATGAGCTAAATTAAATGCTTGCTTTGGTTTTGTCTAGAGCTACCTTCACTCATCTGCAGAGGTGTATGGGACTCAATCTGGTCCATTAAAGAACAATCACTGTTTCATTCTATAGGTTGTTAGGTCTTAAGGGGGTTCAATGTAGTGGTATGAAATGGCACTCTAGAGATTATGTATGGAGGTCATAGATGTGAAGAACAGTCATTTGAAGACAACAGATTTCTTGTGCTTAACTTAGATGCCATTTCCCACCTTAGCTTTCGGAAAATCTAAAGTCAAGAACCTAAAATCTTTTTATGTTTGACAATTAGCTCCCCTCTTACTAGGTTATTAGTTTACTGATTCTTAACACACACACACACACACACACACACATGTGTGTATGTGTGTGGTTTCATGAAATATTACAAAGTCTTTGTAAAATATATTTGGAGGGAACCAATGCCTTATGGGGGAAAAACACAGAAGCATTGCCTTATTAATAGTTGGGATATAACACTGCATTATTAATGTTTGGGATAGAACAATATGGATAAAACCATTTTTTCATTAATATTTGGAATAGAAAACTTGAACCTTTGCTTTATTAAAATTTGGGATATAACCATATGTGTAGAACCATTTATTTATGAATATTTGAAATAAAACCTTGTGGATAGAACCACTGTTTTATTCATATTTCTGGCACAAGTACGTATATAGAACCACTACATTATTAATATTTGATATATATATATATATATATATATATATATATAACCATACATATAGAACTGTTTATTTATTCATATTTGGAGTAGAATCATGTGGATAGAACCACTGCTTTATTCATATTTCTGATGCAAGTATGTAAATTACTTTTATAAATATTTGGGATAGAACTATTTTTTTTATTACTGTTTGTATTTGGGGTACAACCATGTTGATGGAACCATTTTTTATGAATGTTTGGGACAGAACCATATGATTAGAACCACTGCTTTATTCATATTTGGCATAGAACTAAAACCGTTGTTTTATTGATATTTGCGATAGAACTATGTAGACCATTGCTGTATTAATGTTTGGGATACAACCATGTGGATACAGCTATTTCTTTATTGATATTTGGGACAGAACTACATACATACATCCATCATCTAAACCGCTCATCCTTCTGGGTCACGGTGGGGTGCTGGAGCCTATCCCAGCTGTCATTGGGCGGAAGGCAGGATACACCCTGGACAGGTCGCCAGTCCATCACAGGGCAGACAGACAGACATACACATTCACACACTCACTCACACCTAGGGGCAATTTTAGCATGTCCAGTTGGCCTGACTGCACGTTTTGAACTGTGGGAGGAAACCGGAGTACCCGAAGGAAACCCACGCAGATAAATTATTGAAATTGATAAATTAAAAACAAACATACTCAAATGCAATACATGCTTAACATAATCACATATCGTAATAATGTGATATAATTAAAAAAACAGAGAAGTTGAATACTGCTTAGCACTAGGGAGAACATTTCCTAACTTGGGAGAACTTTTCCCATTCTCTGCAGTGTTTAATCTCTGGCCAGTCCATTCCTTCCATGGATTAACTCATTCTAAGTGTCAAACTTCAGGGCTTGCCTCTGCGACCCAGTGACAGTCATCAAGCATGATTCTCCCACAGGACCCTCAATGTTGGGGATTTCCTGGGGGGCTCTGAGCCTTGCCCCCTCCTCCTCATTAGCGATCCGTTGATGGATAGCATGGTTAATTGTGGGCCTGTAGACCGGCTCTGGACCTGCCCATCTGCTCCAGCCCTGCAGCTGTGAACGCTTATCAGTTAGGAGGTCCTTCAGTGGAGTTACTCCAGCTGGGCTCTTTCTCTGTCTCTCTCTCTGTCTCTCTCTCTCTCTCTCTCTCACTCTCACACACACACATGCACGCACTCTCAGGGAGCAGCAGAACTAGCTGATAGTGCATTGTTATGGTCACTAGTCTTGTCGCTTCTGCTGTTGTTGACATTGTTCTCTCGAGATAGAATCTATAAAGCACTTCAGTGCAATTTTAGGTTCTGTTTGTTTACACAGTTCCCTTTTTGGAAACACTGTTGTCACAGGGCAGCAGTACAGTTTTTGACAGATGAAATGTAGACTGATTCACTAAGATTGTGTACAGAACCCCAGGAAACATTTACTTTTTGTTTGTCTTAAAGGGCAGTTTCATCAGTTTCAAATTGTAAACCAAGTTGTAAACCAAGTCATTCAGATTGGTTTGATGTGAAATGATTGACTGTAGACACTCGCTGACTTTTTACAATGATTTCTTTCTTGGTGTAGATAGGAACCAGGATCCACCATGTCTACAATGCAAATATAGCCATTTTATTTACAATCCAAAACCACCAGTGAATCTACATGTGTCTTTTGAGTTTTTATAGGTATTGTTGATAATGGACAAATCCAGACAAAATATGTTTTCGTTATCACAAAACTATTGAAACACTATATTTCAGGCATCAGACAGCTATTTGTAACCATTAAATTTAATAACGTTCTGTGAGGTAACATTTAGAGGCATTAAACTCTTCAGATGTCTGATTCCTATCAACACAGCTAGAACATCAAACCATTCTGCATTACTTTGTAACATGTTAATGATTTAACTGAAATTTTCAATTCAGTGGAATTTCCACTTAATGCTTGGTCTTGTGTGACTCCTTCACTGCTGTTAAGGGTCATCTCTCTACATTCCCAACAACAAACTCATATAATTTCTCCCATATCAGAACCTTATAACTCCATTCTTTTTGTCTTTTGTTTTTACACCATTGGAATGGCAGATGCAGCTTATATTGTGTGAACATTTCATGATGAATGGACCAACAGAAAAGTCCAAAACTACCTGCAATAAATTTGTAGATTAACATACATCATATTTATAAATGTATTTTTTTTCCTTCTTCTATTAAGTTACCAGAGATATTACAGATATGAGACTTTGTTACGATACTGATGCTATGCATACAAAATGCATTTGCCACTGCTGGACACGTTGCTAAGTTTAGATTGTCACACGCCGTTCACATCACTTGCTCTTAAGCCTACGGCCCACTTTGAGCCTCACCTTCCCACACCCTCACACTCCTCCGGCTTCGGATTTCAGCCATTCAGTTGACCGGCTGCTTTAACTTATCTATCTAATTAGACCCAGGGCTGAGAGATGCTTAAATGTATCCCTCACCACTAATCACCCACCCAGCATCTCAGTCTCACGTTTGGTAATTAGTCCATCCACAGGGGGTGGGGGGTGTGCAAAGACAGGGTGCTTAAAGTGTCTATATCTGTATGTATGTTTTTACATTCTTATTATGACAATACAGACAACAAGGCAGAAGATCTGCTGAAATCAGCTGCGTAAATGCACCACAAACGCCCACATGGCCAGTGAAGGCCATTAGGCACAGTACTACAGCACAAGAGACACAAACACTTGCGTAGTTATGATGAAGATTGATAAGACTGCATTTCAAGGAGTGAGACTGAATTTTAGAGCTAAAACTGTGTTAAAATGTTGTTTTATCCCTTTTATAATTTAAAACAGACATTCTAGTGTAAGTAATGTTTTAGATTTTAATCTTTTTCCACTGGAAGAAAAAGAGAAGGGAATACGATGGTGTCCCTTTGTTCACAATAAAAGGTCAGTTTGTTACCTTGCATTACCTGGTAGGAAAAGGAAAGGGGACATGATGTTATCCCTTTATATTTTATAGTAATAAAATGTAATTAAAACAATAAATTGAAAGCATAACTGTAAAACCAATTAGGGTACTAGGGTACCTGTCAATTTTTTTATTCAAAGAAGCAATATGAATAGACAGCCCTGCAAGGAAAACCAGCACGACCAATCTGGGTGACCAACTAAACCATTAATGCTAGTCCAAGCTGTTTTTTTTTCTAAGCTGTTTTGGTTCAAGCAAATCGTGCTGAGTCTGGTACGGTAATATCATGGGAAAGTAAACAGTCTCCAAT